TTCACATGATTAGATGTCTTCCTCCGATGCCGAAAGCATATATAAGTAACAAAGAAATCATGCTGTTCAGCAAAGAAGGTGTTCTCCACTGGCGCATTGGACCCCGATGCTGTATTTGCCAATTATCGAATTTATCGTAACGACATCATGACCTATGCTCGCATTCCAGTCTTCCCCGATTATAACCATGTCACTTCTTGGTAGAGATGTTGTTAAGAATTGAAGTTCTGCATAGAACTTATCCTAATCGCGGTCATCTGCGCATAAAGTTGGAGCATATATAGTGATGAATATTGGAGAACTTTCCCTTGAAACGCGTATATGTTATTTACTGGTCTCCATTCAATCAGAGCGTATTGAGCCCTTTCAGATATGACCATCGCTACGCTATTTCGCCCCGAGTTATCCGAGACACCACAGTGTTATAGGCAATATTTTTGTTCGGAACCAAGTTTAATAATTATTCGAGAGCGGACATGAGGAAGACGGTCCTCCGATAAACGAGTCATATCTACGCGTTATTTAGAGAGGGTGTTGACAGTGATTGTTTGGCTTGCAACATCCATAAGCGTTCTAATGTTCCAAGCAACTACAGCCAGCCTCACCGCGCTTACAGTGTTGGCGGATAGATTCCCTCCCTTCGCGAGCAAATTCTATATTTGTGCCTTTGAATTTTTTTATTATTATTACACCCGGATATTTATCGCATGTATCACCGGGTCAGAAGTAGCATTCGTATCGGAAGATCGAAAGAAAGAACTGATCAAAAAGAACTGATTTTTTCACCATAGAGTAACTTGGAGACAGATACAGGTGAGTCTCCCTCAGCCACCGGAGTTTTTGGCATCATGACAGGTTTGCTGCTATCAAAGACAGATCTTTGGCTTCGATCTTCGATATTTTCTTCGATATGTGTACATCAGTTTCGACGGAAAAAATGAAATTTTCCCTTTATTTTTATTCCAGTGAAGAATGAGGTGGGTGGTATGTTCCTTCCATTGAAACTAAGCATTCTTATTATTAGTTTCGAAAAAGTTTATTTATTTTCTCCACAGCCAATAAAATTTTTCTAAATTTGCCTCTCAGAAAATCCTTAAAATTTCAAAAAGTCCATAGTTTCATTAAAACATATTAACAATTTGCAAAAATTTTACGAATATTTTTCATTGCAAACAAGAAAATGAAATTTGCGATTATGCTTATAAAATTAAGAAATAAAATGGCAACACAACAGCCCTTGATCATTTGCTTAATTGCATTTTTTCAAATTAAAACAATGAACAGGTTATAGGTTTACAATAAAATCTCTTCCTGGGTAAATTTCATGCCAATAAATAATCGATAGCACAGCAATGTGGTGCTTTCCAAATTAACAAAATAAATAGAAAAAATCATTAATAATTTGTTGGCAATAATCATGAATATAACAGAAAGTTTTTAGGGTAATTCAATTGCTAAGTCATTTTTTTTCACACAATTTTTTACTGCTTTTCAAAAAATCGCAATAATTATTAATGTTCAGTATAATATCAATAATCTATTAATCAGTTTTTAATTACAATTACAATTAATTATTGCTACATTAATTATTTTTTTATTGTTTTTCTTAAAAGGAACTTGAAAATCTGAGATATTTTTCTTTAAAAAAGAGAAAACTATAAAAATTAAATAATTCAAAAGTAAAAGCTAGTGCAAATCACGTGAACAAAATCACAATATCAATTTATCAAAAAATAAAACGAAAGATATGAGGTAAATAGCAAAAGCTAATTCAATATTGATGTAATGTTTTGTTGTAAAAAAACAACAAAATAATTTTCTAAAAAATGATTCAAAAGAAAAAGAAAAAATACTTTAAAAATAAATTTTTATAAACCTACAAATATAAAAATATGTGAATAATTAGAAATTAATCTGGCTTAATAAACTGATATATTCGCTATACCATAACCTTATAAAGCAGAATTTAATCATAAAAATGAACCAAAAATGGCAATAATCAGAGGAATTTGTGACTAATTCACTTTTAATCGTTAACCAGTCGTAATCATTTATTATAGTCTATAATCACTAACTATATTGGTCAAAAATTTATTGGTTAATGGATTATTAACAGGCATTTCCTCAGCAGTGGATGTGGATCATGAAAGAATAAATTGATGCATTTGGTCATAATTCTCAATATATACAAATTTTGAAAAATTTGAGGCAGCGTTTAAAATATCAGATGATGACTTGCCAATCACTCTTTTGAGCAAGAAATAACAAATTGTAGAGCATCGTCCAGATGTGAAAATACCTGAAAAATACACTGAAATCTTGAAATCCATTTTAGACTTTGTTTGATGAAAATCAAATTCACTACAAAACTTATAGAGGGCAAAAAAAAACCTCGCATTGCCTCCTTTCTGCCATGTCCCTGAGATAACAAAAGGCCATTCGATAACATTCATTTCGCTGATCGATGTGTCTTCTAATTTCATCGTTACTTGTAGGAGAAATAAGCATCTTCGCTCGTTTTGGAACGCATAACACTAAACTCCAATTGGTATGTCCAAGAAAATAAGCGACCTATAAAGATTATGTAAAATAAATAAAAAATTCAGACAGAATAAAATTATAAAGGCTTACTTCGACCATGCCCGAAAGAATTGTTTCACAAGAAGGTATATGATAGAGGATCCTTCGAGATATGTCAAGAGTAACCAATCGTTTATTTTTTTCCACCATTAAATCGGAACAAAATGATATACCTTTTTTGCTGGAAAAAAAATCTGATGCAATAGAAAATACTTGGGCTCTAGATCATTGCAACAATATAAATTGCCGAATCTAATCACAGCAAACAATAAGCTAAAGATGTTAAGCAAATTTAAAACTAAATTGTTTTCAATCTTAAGCAACTTACTACAGTAATGGAGCAGCAACTTGTGGTATCCAAGAAAGTTCGGCATTATTTCTAGAGCTACATCCAAGAAATACATCAAAACCGTTTCGCCACGTCAATTGGTTAAAACATTCCTTATGGCTAATAGCACAATATTTCAGAACTAAATATTATATCATTTATACCATTGAAGTATTTCGTAAAATAAATATCATTATAATACTTCGAAAATTAATAAAAGTCTGAAATTTCTAATGCAAGAGAAATATATAAGAAATTACAATTATTTGGCAAAGTTGTTGTCTCATCGCAAATTCGACCAGAATTATTCTGAGATGAATAAGTGAGTGGTAATTGTTGGGGAATAACATTAAAAGGCACAGAAGAATGACTGGAAATGGGTAAATGAAATGAATTTATACGCTGCTGCAAAAGTTTTGCGTGATGTTTTGCAGTTTCATCTGCTTTCTGGCGATAATATATAAAAGATGTAATTGCAAGAATAACATCCAGAGCAATAACAGGAATAAGAATCAACAGGATTGGTAGACCATGTAAGAAGCAATGTATTGTTAATATCAATAAAATTTCACAAATACCTAAAAAAAATTAATAAAAGAATGGAAAAAAAATGGAAAGAAAACATAAAATATATAAACTGCTAAAGAGAAGGCTAAAACGAAATACACAAATTAATTCGCATCGATTTAAAAAAACGAAGAATTAAAAAAATTAAGTGAACCGTTGGGATTAAAATAGCGAAAAAGCATACCGATCAATACATACTTAGTTCCCCTCCACCTTGCAATAATATTTTTTATAAGCAGCCACGTTGTTTTAATTTTCTTTACTAAATGCTTAAATGTTCTACGTCCACAAAGCATTAAGTAAGGTAGCCTTTGTAAAGGATTAGACATAGCTTCAGACCAAGTTTTCTCACCGATAATTACTTCATCGATGTATCTTAGCGCTTCCTTAAAATAAATTTGTAAAATTCACAATTCACAAAACGGAAATTTTTTTAGAATAAAAAAAACACTATAAAAATTACTTGAATTGACTGTAACACAGGAACATTATGCGTAGTCAGGATATTATCAAGAAGATCACAGGTTCGTTGCCTATCTGGAAGATCATCTGGATGGCCTTTATCTCGCCATTCTGATTGTCCGAGAAACACTACAACCAATTTTGGCGCCTTACGAGCAGCAAAATGGGCAATTTCGAGAAATGAAGTAGCATTTACCGTAGCAGGATCAAGCACGAATAAAAAGAGACTTGAATTCTATAAAATTTATATATATATATATATATTTATTTAAAATCATTCCAGATATTAATAAAATGCTTCAGTAATGTTTTGGATTTATAAGTTGAACCTCTTTGGCAACACTTTCTTCATTAATCATATGTTCATTCCACACACTTCGTTGCGGATCATAATAACTTATTGCTCTTTTTTCCAAATAAGGTATCACCTGAAATTCTATAATCCTATATTTTTAGAAAAGTAGAAAGCAAAATTAAGATTTGAGAATAAAATACGATGGAAGTTTTTTTTTGAATTATATTATATGCTTTAATTAAAAATAAAACTAATCGAATTATGGTCGTTAATCGGTAAGTTCAAGAGTTCAAAAAATAAATGCAAGAAATTGCAAAAAAAACATAAATTTTTTCGAAATAAACAAAAAAGAGATGAAAGAATTTAAAAAAAATTCAATCATAAAATTCCAAATGAAGGAAATGAGCAAAAGTGATTTAAAAAATTATAAATCATTTTCTTCCCAAAAAACACTGTAAAAAAAAGTATAGAAAATGTCGTTTCTAGTGTAAAAAAAATTTATTCAATCATGCATTAATAATAAAATTTAACGAGACTCCATATTAATGAAATAAGAATTGACAAAGAAACTATACCTGATCGCGACGCCACACAGTATTTCCGCAACTACCACCTAGGAATACATCATAAAGCGCTTTCCTTGGTCGATTTTTACATCTTTTTGTTGTTAGAAATGGTGATAGTTGATTAATGACCACTTGAGAGTTCTTACCCTAAAATTTAGTCGCTTGCCAACAAAATGATCGAAATGCTGTTTAATCTTTAAATGTTTTGAAATTGAAATAAAAATGGAAATAATAAAAAGGAATAAAAATATAGAACTGGAAATGAACATTATTAATTAAAACTAGAGTATAAAAATCGTATTTTACAAAATCAACAAATTAGAAAACGAAAAAATAAAAACCTTTATTGAAGACTGATTTTTAGAAGGCGTCTTCGATGGACTTCGTTCATGCATTTGTGCCGTAGACGTACTTGCCACCAAACCATTACAATTTTTACTCATCGATAAGATGTTTTTTGCAACGCAATGGGACAGCAATTCATTTGTACAAGTTTTATGCCCATTACAATAGCTAAAATTTTCAAGATTATCAAAAGGACTTTTTAAATGAATTTTCAAACCTTTAACTGTTGGTGAAAAAAATAACGTAATAAGCTAAAAAAAGAGAAATAATTTAATCTCTTCATCGAAATTTTTCAAAATATTTAATTCCTTCGCTGCTTTGTTAACCATTCGTTTGCTGATGCTCTGTTTTAAAGCAAAATCTGTCAGATATAACTCTTTTTCATCGTAACCATTGGCGCAGTAAAACATCCATTTAAGCTACGCTAAAGGGTCGGCGCCACCGATTAATATTTACCAACTTTTTGCTGGGGTTTCTTTTCGGAAAAACTTCGATTCAGCTCTTCGATTCGATTTGTTAAGCGATTAAAAAATCAACAAATCGTATAAATCAAATAGATTTTGTAAAAGTTTGTAAAAATTGGAAATAATTTATATGAAATTTAAAACAGCTAAGCTTGAAATTATTATTTTAAAAATAAATAAGGTTAAAAAATGGAATTTAAACAAAATAAATCTCCGATCTGAAGGTTCAAGATAAATCATAAAAACGATACTAAAATCATGTTGCACGTAAAAAATTTTTGAAATTCAAAAAATGGTTTTCGACTGAAGTAAAAAAACCACTTTAAGAGCCAAAATCGGAAAAGGTAGCACAAAATCCACCTTCGCACGGACTGAATGCATCAAATATTTATGGAAATGTATGGCGTTTACTGTTTTTTTTGATGGGAATAACAAAAAAATGAAAATGAAAATGGAATGGGATTTTAAGGGAGTTTTATCGAAGTGAAATTCATGAATACGTATAAAAATTGCAAAATATTGCGACAAATTTGCTCTTTTTAAGTCGATGATTGGGTCGCACTCGCACTTCTCTCTGCAAATGACTCTCTGGTGAGAGGACTCATCTCAGCAGTGAATGAAGCGAGCAAGATTAGTCGCATAGCAGGAAGAAAGAGAATTCCACTATTTACTCGCGTAATACTGGAAAACTTGAAAAATAGAAATTAAAAGAGCGCATAGATATGACTCGTTTAGTTAGAAACGTTAGAACGAGTTGATCTGCTCATTTATTCAAATCAAATTGATGCGAACCTTATTTGCTGAACTGAACGGTGATTCTTAATCTATGATCCACCGAGATATTAATAAATAATGGTAGTTAATTGAAAAAATACTTTTGGAGGTGACAATTTCCCTTCGCAATGTTTCCATTTTATAAGTGAAATTTATGAGTTTATATTCTTTTTTATGAATGGTGATCCGTAGCATTCACCCAACTCTCAAAATCTATCAAATCAACTCTCAAATCCAATGCTTCCATCTGACTTTAAAAGAAATTCTTAACTTCCACTTGGTTCGTAATTTTCATCGGAATTCTTAAAAGTAAGTAGCTTCTACCATATTTTTAAGTTTTAAGAAGAAACCTTTAACAGATTTCTTCCAGCAGATTGTCAAATGGACCTATAAACTCCCACTGGATTCCATCAGACTCTCAGAACGATTAGAAAAGATTAAGAACTATTGTCTTAGGTTTTAAATGAATAAATCAGTAAATCTCAACGAATGCAAATTTTGATAAAATACTGTGATTTACTTGACGAGATTCAAAGCAGCAATTGCTCAATTTTTTGCCTCGATTTCCTTCACAGATATCCATAATTTAATAAGTTATCCATTCTCAAATCGTTATCAATATTATTGCAAAGATCTTAATATATTTTCGTTTAGAAACTCGTTTCCTAGAGAATTCCTACACGTCAAATGACGATAGCGCTATTCATTTTATAGCGCTTTATAAACATAGTTCGAAGTATTAAAGTAATCCCTAATGATCAAATACAACAAAATCGGTAAATAATCGGCAAATTCGCATTAATTACCTTCGATCAAAATCAAATAATTTTCGATTTGAATCGAAGCAGTTTTTTCTCAACAGTGCTAGTTAAGCTCATTTCGCTGGTTTGTCGGAGAAGACAAATTTTGCTAGGGAGTCACCTGGTGATAGAAAATAGAAGTAAGTCCAACATCACTCGAAACGAAGTCGAAATAAGGAAATTCAAAATATATACGGTTAAATTTAATAATAAATAGGGACCTATAAGGTGAATGCGTTGTTAATGCATGTTCGTCGAAAGCGGCGAAAGGACTAGAGGAATATAACGAGTTTTGGGATGACATCCGGCTGTATAACCCGATTTGAAAATGGCTTTGTATGTCCTTCGTATAGGCTAATAAAATAAAAGAAATAACATGGGAATATTATGGAAAACTAATAAATAATAGACATAATAAATAAATATAAAATAAATAAATAAATTTTGAACATTTAAGCTTAGAAATGAAAACTTATAAATTAGCTTTCTTAAAGTGTGAAATTTTTCTAGCAATAATGCATTTCAAAACTGCGATTCGCTACTTAAATATAAATTAATTTGATAAATTATCCTTTTCAAGCAATGATAAACGATGGTTCAATAAAGGATAAATGAAAAGCTAAGCAAATGATTAAATATACATATAAATATAAAAATTATGTAGGAATTAGTAAGAAATATTTAATAAACTTTTCAGTGAAAAACAAAAAGGCATCTCTGACATCACAACGATCAACAGACAACTGGAAATACATCATTAAAGCATTTAATTCTTTAAATTCTTAACAAATGCTATGGAAAGCACATTCACATACACATACAAATGACTGCTGTTCTAGGAAAAAAACTATAACTATCTGAAGCGATTCATAATTTTTGAAAAATTCTGAAACTAATTTAGAAGAAAGAAAAAATGAATAATGCTCATTAGATTTATTTTAATAGAAAGGTTTTCGAAAAGCCTACGTAATGGATCAATTTAAAATGCTTAGTTTTGAGAGGAAAAATTCACAGATTTTTTATTATTAGTGGCAATCATCCTCATTAATCAAAGAAAATAATTCTCGTTGCGTTTCTGGTTAGGCTTTTGCCATTGGTATAAATTTCAGCTGGGGCGACAAAAGTATAAATGAGACTCTAGCACAACCTATCTCGAATTTTTAATATTAGATTCATTCCTATCGTGGACATAAGCCAGGCTCTTGGTTCTCAATACAATAATCTGAGCTCATTATACACTTGGCTATTTTAACATTCTTAATAAAATTATCATTTCATATTACTCAGTTATAATTAGGCTTTGCTAACCACTTTTCCAAAGCGTTATTAATATTAATTATAAAATTTTATCTTTTGTTAAAGTAATCCGGAATTGCGCCAAAAATTCATTCAAATCTTGATTCAGAAGAAAATAAATGAAACGAATGTATGAACATCAGAAGAAAAAAATGAAAAATTTTTTAAATTTTTTAAAAAAATTCATTGAAAAATTAAGGAATCACCTCAAGAAATTTTAAATTCTAAATGACACAATATTTTTAGCATTCTGCATTAGTTTTTCTTATTTTATTTTTTAAGTTGATATCAAGACCTTTTTCACCATAAATTTGTGAAAGCTCTTTATTACGTCAGAATACTGAAAAAAAAACTCGTGTCTATTTTAAGTTATTTGCAAGTATTCATTTTCTTCACCTTTCCTAAGCTTGAAAGCCTGATTTGATTTAATCGCATAATTCATAGGTCCGCATTGTTAGGCAATTCAGCTTATGGCAAAGATGGATGGCGTTGGGCACAATTCATAAAGCAGCTATGATTATCTCTTTTTTAGAAGACATTATTGGTATATGCGAAAGAAAAGATAGATCATTAGCCGATAAAATAAATAAATAAATTGACAGAAAATAAAATTTTGTATAAATCACTAATATTTAATTTGTTATCGAAATGTCTGACGAAAAAATTTGTTAATCATTTTCAAATTAAGCAAAATTTTCAAATTAAGAAAATTAATTTTCTTCGGATAATGAATTTAGATATTAGCAAATTATATTTAGGTTCAAAAAAGGTCGAGTAACTTCCATTCGTGTCGAGCATCTTCGTTTTTCTACTCCTACAGAACTAAATCTTGTTAAAAAATCCGGACGGTATTAGCGATCCATTTGTACTTCTATAATCAATTAACTTTCTACTAAAAATTCTCAGTTGTACTGTTAATAGAGAAGGTTAATTAGAAATGATGAGTGTTAACCATTTCTCTTCCACTTACACTTTTCAGCTTAAATAAATACATGAATGAAAAAAAGGAAGAAGAATGATAATATCTATTTCTGAATTTATAAAACTATGTCCAAGAATTCCATTTAAATAGAATAGAATTCTCTCACGTTCTATATAAGAAAGCGATATACTTTTTATGATATTTTTTATAATGATATGAATTAATAAAATCGAATAAAATTAATAAAAGAATCCATTATCCATTATTGAATAAAATCATAAAGTAAAAAAAGCACTAAAATTTCGCAATATAGAATTATCATTCTGATTTACGAATGCAATATTTGTAACATAGAATAATACTGATTAAAACTACTACTATCATTGTATAATATTAATTGTAAAAAAATTGATTAGAACTTCAATTATATTAAAAATTACATTAAAAATTAATATATAATTAATATATCAATAATATAATAATATAAAATGATAATTACTTCAAGAGTAAAAATAAGAGAATATTATATACATATATATAGATCGATAAATTATTATTTAAATGACCTAGTAAGCCATATAATAGAAAGGCAGGATAGTGGAGTAGATAGAGACTCAGATTAGCTTATTCAGACCACTACCATCGAGCACTTCAGTAGCACTCCTCGCAAAATGACTCCATGGAAAAATTTTTTTATCGCATTAATAGGAACGGAGCGAAGCCTAAGCAGAAATGGTTCCGAACACTTACAGCACTTAAGCCATATAAGAAAGACGTGATTTTTTCAAGTCATATTTAAAATCAAATTTTTTTACTTTTTTATAAATTAAAGCAAAGTATCA